ATCTTAGCTAAACCAACATTGAAAACTTGGAACCACTGGTAGACCATTCTATCTCAGTAAAGGATACTTTACAGATGTGTATTTGGTACTCAAAACCGGGAATCGAACCAAGAATCTTCATTTCTACTCGCTGACCCCTAGTCTCTAGACTATTGATTAGTTTTAGAATCTAATTTTAATCAATTAACTCATATTGCACGGTAATATAACTGTTTCATTCTCATTGACCAAACAAAATTCAATCACACTCGTCTCTATGAATTTGTAACATGAATTTCACTTGATCTTATTAAGACATTCTTTAATCACTTGTTATTATTCCAGAATCACAAAGGTTTATAACATTCATGTGATTCATAGGCAAATATAGTCAGTGGCTAGCAGTGGAATAGAGGACGTGCGTTTCATCCTGTTTGGGATTTGTCAGTTGAATGTACCTGCATCTCTGAATTGATGTTCACGCCGAGACTCGAACCCAATACCGTTCGCTTCAAAGACCATCGCGTTCTCCACTTAGCTACTTGTTTGTGCAATGAGGTGAAGTTTAAATTCACTTGATATTGTTTGCTTGAAACTTGTGATGCTTGCGAATTAAGGCAGTATTGAGGCAATACGCACTGTATGCACATATGCCAATAAGAGAAACTGATCAATTACAGCCCTAAACATCAATGAGAAGATCCAAGTAAACAATACCAAATGAATTCATGTGATTTGATTAAATTTAGTGATGAAAATCTATTTTTTATAAATAGAGTTTAATGACTTGTAAGTAGGCATTTGAAATTTAGAAAAAATAATATCATCAATGTGGTGTTATGGAGATAGTTAAGTTTTTGATTGAGATCATGGATCGATGAATGTTGGACTACCATTGAAAACCTGGAAGCCATGGACGACTGTCTCGTTATAGTTTGGAGATTCTCAGCAGTGCGCATCCAACATTTATCGATTAATGTTCTCAATCAAAATATAATATCAGTTTGATTTCAATCTAGGACTGCAATTGATCAATCTCTCGTTGGCATATGTGCATTCTGTACGAATTACCTCGATATTGCTTGAAGTCATAAGCTTTATAAGCAAAGATGGATAGTGGCTAGCAGTGGAATCCAGAGAAGGACAATAAGAAGTTCCATCATTGTCAAACTCATTGATATATTTTACGGACTTGATGTAATGGTAACCTTTTAAGTTATCTATTGAATCCAATCCAAACGACATCTCTTTTAAAATACAGTGGAAGCCATATGCATTTAACTAAATAATCCTAATCTGAGGTGAAGTTGATCTATCTACCTAAACAAATAATCTACCCAAAATCACATTCAAATCACAATTGATGATTTTTAAAAACTTTTTCCAGTAATCAAATGTCATTAACTAACTTAGCCACTGGGATTCGAACAGAACTAACGATAAGTATCACGTTTGTTATCATTCAGCTATCACTTAGTTTGACTCTACAGGACTTCAGTCGCCGTCCTTTTTTCTTCATTAATGATATCTTTGACTATTATACTAGATAAAATATGAATCCTAGTCTTATAAAAATCATAAATTCTGTCAAGATTAGAGATATTACCTCTGACGAGTATCGATTTAGCTGAAGTATCGTTTCCACAAAGGTTTCAGTTACGTTTTTACCTATGACTGTTAATTAGCATCGAATCCAGGTGCAAAGTATCTTGCTGGCTACCTCTAATCACTCAATAAATTTCATACCGGTATGTGAGATTCTAGATGTACACTTCTGAGGAGTCCTATATTAGGACAAAACGGGCATCTAGTGCTTCCAGGTTTTCAATGGTGGTAACGCAATTTCGTGAATTGGTTGAAGTTAGACATTAACACCGTTGAATGTTGGCCGGCCCAGTGGTTTAGAAGTTAAGTGTTCGCGCGCGAGATCGAAATTCCTGGGGTCGAGTCCCCTTTGTGCGGGATCGTGGATGCGCACTGCAGAGGTGTCACATATCAGGACGAAACGTTCATTCAGCGCTTCCAGGTTTCCACTGATGGTCTAACATTGATCGAATCATGATCTCAATCAGAACAGTTAACTGTTTATCCATCACACTGAAAAAATCTGTAAAAATTAATTAACAGTCACACGATTTTTCTAAAAATAAAGCGCTCTTTTGATGTATGGTGGTGAAAATAAAGTGTGATTGGTCGTTAAGAGTGGACAAACAGCCACAGCCTACGGACTATTTAATACGTGATTTTCTTTCTTATTATTGATCTCTACTCTGGACTCATAGTGTGTGTAACTGCTTGTAATTTTATTGAATAAAGTATTCTCTAATATTAATCTGCTTCCATATTTTGGGTCGTGAATCCTGGTTCTGGTATGGTATATGCTAGTGATGTAGATAGATATAAGTAGTATGTATCATCAATCAAAAGTGAAATGCTTAGAGGCAGAAGGTTAAGAAGATTAAAGCAAAGAGAACGAGAACAATGAATGATTGCTGAAAAAAACAAAGGACCAGTCAATTCTGAGTTGGTTGATTGAAATTTTACTGAAGGAACAGTGAAGTTTGAGATAATTGATTGACATTTTGCCAATAAAGTATTCACTGCATAGTCCTCAAATTTTAGTAAAACTTTCTGTAATTCATTGTGCAATTACGTTTGATTGTCCCCATTTGTGTATTCTCGTTCACTACATTGGCATAATGTGAAATATTCTTCGATTCTATTCGATCACTATGAGGGCTCCTATACTTAACCAATCCAACTACGCAAAGAAAACTGAATATGAACTTTTACTCTCTAAAACCGGATAATTATACTTACAACTCATCCGTATATATACATACATGGGTTATTTAACTGATCATCATAGGCAAGTCTGAGTAGTAACCAAGTGTGAATAATTAACTCATTTATAAATGTCTGTTGCAAATATCTCTTATTTCTGGTGTAGCTACGTGATAACGCATAATTTATACGTATTTCTCTAGAATATTTGTACTCTATGAAGTACTAGAAATATCGTATTTCAACTATAGCGCTTCCAACTTGGAAATTAATCGAATGTACTAGAGTGCAATTTAATTTACCATAAGTTTGAGTTCAATGTTACGAATAAGTTTCTGATTTCCTGTCCTTTCAGGTTTACTTTACATAGTTTCCTGTAAAAGTGTTCACAAAAAAATCACCTGTGGTTCATTTAGATTCTTTTGTATGATGGATAGTAACAGAAACTATAATTTAAATCTGCAACAATTTGGTAGACTCTCCCGGTCTCCCACATTGTACGAGTATTCCATGTACCTAAATCATTGT